CGTGCCTTTTCAAGCTGCGGAAAAAAAAACTCCGAGAAACGGGGGAGCGCCTAGAACACCGTGACGGCGGCCAGCGCCACGGTAAGGCCGAGGACACCGTGCACCACACCGAGACCATTCATCACCGTCCCATCGGGATGATGCTTCGAAGACGAGTTTCCGTGGTGCTTCGAAGACGAGTTTCCGTGAGGCTTCGGAGGCGGGGCAGGGGCGCTCTCTTTCCCATAAGCAGCCAGCACCCCCTTCTCCTTCTCATCCTCCGCGGGTAAGTCGAGGCTCTGGGCGTTGGCGACCCCGGCACAGCCGCCCGCAAGCACAATGGCCAGCAGGGCGGAAAGGAGAACAATCTGCGTAACCTTCATCGCTGGGTGCGTGGGTGGTCAGCTATGTGCCCTTCATGTTGCAATGGTTTTTTTTTCTTCCAAGCTTATATCGATAGTGCGATGCGCCATCTTCTGCAGCCTTTTGTCGTGCGTGGCAAAAACAATAGTTTTTTTATGAACGCTGTTGAGTACTTTCAAGGTTTCGATCAGAGTCTCAACGCTTTTGGCGTCTAATCCTGTTGTTGGCTCGTCCAGTAAGAGTAGTGTGCATTCTGTGCGCGCATATAGGCGTGCCATACAGATGCGCTGGAGCTGCCCTCCACTGAACTGCGCCTTGTCGGGGCTGTGTATGAGCGTCTGGAAGGGGCTCTTGACGTACCTGTCGCAACCACTGCGTCGCATGGCGGTGTTAACCTCGTCGCGCGCCTTTGCCCTCTCCTGTCGGCTCAACCTACTTGTATCCACCATAAGAATATTGTCTGCAATACTTCCAAAGAGAATGGCTTGTTCTTGCTCCAATAGGGCGAGTTTGGCATGTGTTTTAACCTGGCCTTTGTGCGGCTGTATCAAACCAGCGAGGAGGCGAAGGCAGGTGCTTTTGCCAGAGCCACTGGGTCCATAGATTGCGGTAATTGAACCTGCGGGTATCGTGAGGTTAACGTCATGCACTCCGTTTGATGCGGCAGAAGGGGGAGGCATGAGGACATGGCTGTGAATGCCGTTCATGCTGTCTGCCCTCTTCTCTTTCGCTTTGGCCTCTGATGGGTCCAAGAGAAACGCCGGAACCTCCGGATAAACGTACGTGACGCCATCTAACTCTATGCCTGTACCCGTTCCCTCCGCGGCTGCAAGCTCTTTTTTCAACTGTGTCGAGGAAACCTTCACTGTTATTGGCGGTGATCGTCGGCAACTGCAATCTGCAAGCCGCTTCCAGACAACGTGTTCCACGTCGTACCAAGTGAGCAATTGTCGCAAGGACCCCAGGCTCTCGAGAAGCACATGCGTCCTATGACAGTCATGTTGTATGCCCTGTAGTCTATTGATGAACTGAAAAAGCAACATGTAGTACATGGCAATATCGATCATGTCTAGTTCACCACGTTGTCGATAGGTGTTTGTCGCACCAAGCACCAGGACAAAAAGAAGCCCCATTACCGCAGACGACAAGCCAGCCTGCCCATGTATCACAGTTATCACGTCTAAGTTTACTTCGTGTAACCGTTGTAGACGCTTCTCTAGACCGCCCAATATAACTGACTCTGCGTTAAAGACCCGAATAGTCGCACTGCGTTGAAGAGCATTTGTTGCTAGGGCTTGCACATCAGACTCTGCGAGGGATAATTCTTTCTTGCAATTCTGATTGTGCCGATGCAGTTGCCGCAGTGCGAGCTGGGAACTCGCCAGCATGAGAACTATAGTCACTGTCAACTTCACAGACATGTGTAGAAGCATACCGAGGAGAAACACTGTAGCGCATAGCGAGGAAAGAACATCCGTTAGCAGTGCGCCTACAACGTCCGCCGACGTTTTTGCGCTGGAAAGGATGATTTGTGACAGTTTGGCGGGGCTCACCAATGCGATGCGGTCCAAGTGCGGAGTGGCTAGTACGGCCACAAGAACGATTTCCAAAATGGTGTTGTGAATTCGCAGCCCCGCGGTGTAGGCTGACTTGTGTCCCAGGAAGGAGGTGGCATGGTAGGCGACAACGACGGCAGCCATGGCGACGCAGCGGCCCACCAGACTTGCCGGGGCGGGAATAGACACGGAGGACAAAAACCAATCCCCTTGCACGGCCTCGGTGCTGTTGCCGCCGTTGAAGGTGGCCACCTCCCGTGCGAGTTGTGGGATGCAGATGCTCAGGCCCGTTGAGAGCAGGACGAAGAACGCCGCAAGCAAAATGATGTTGACGTGCGGCCGCCAAAAATGTAGAGCAAACAGCAGCACGCCATCCGAGCCCAAAACTGGGACTGCCATGGCTACCTACTGCGGACGAGGAGGAAGGAAAGAAGTAAAAGGGGGGAAAAAAACGGAGGCGTGGCAGCAATTGCAAAAAAAATCCCACGGCGACGTTTCAAGAGGCCCCCACTGCCTTCCCGTGCACCTCCGCTTCCCCGTCATACTTTGCCGAGCAATCCAAGGAGATCACTTCGTATCATCCTTCTTATCCTCCGACAACCGCCGGCGCAGCTTCGTGGAGCTGATAAGGTCATCGCCGTCCGTGCCGACGCAAGGTATTTGAATGCAGTCTAGCGGCTTGAGCCCGTGGGAAGCCCGCTCAGTATTGATAGACGCGACGGCACCCGCCGTCTCGGGAGAAACCACCAATGCCTCCACCTCCGCATCGCGGTTCGTTCCACCACTCGGTTCCGTGATTCCCACAACCCTCAGCTCGATGTCCGTTCGCACGCTATGAAGGAACTCGGTGACCGCATCGCGGCGGGCCTCGAACGACTCAATGTATGATCCGTACTGCTTCCTCGCCAGCATCACCTCCAACGTGATCCCCACGCGCAGGGATGTCGTGGCATAAAACAGCGCCGTGGTAAGCAGTAGTTTGTGGCCAGCGTGTAGGTGATCGAAGGTGCCCCCGAGAGCCACGTAAGTATACAAGGGAATGAACCCACGATCCGCTGTCATTGACGCCGCACTAAACAGTGTTAGTGGCGCGCTCCTGTCATTTTCACTACATTTGGAAAAGGTTTGCTCGTCACCTGACGGGAAAATGGGAATTACATTTACAAAGGTACCCGGGTGGTGCTCTAGGGACGCCACGTACAGCTCCTTGGTGTGCCGCAGCAATGTGTCGCGGCGACCGTCGTGTATCCGAAGCTGCACAGAAAGCGGGTTCTTCGGGTCACCCACAGACTCTGCGCCACGGAGCGACATGAGATAGGCACGCAGCGCCGCCTTATTGCTCTCCACTCCAGCCATCGTGGAGAGACGCAAGGCCCTCATTGCACTTGGTCTCCCGTGTGGTTCCCGCTCCTTTTTTTTTTGATGTTGTTGTTGTTGCGTGTTCCACCGCAGCTAATGCCACTCTTCCTTGTGATTTTCTGCCCACAGACCCCCTCCCCTGCGACGCCGTGCCCTCTGCGGCCGGAGCGCGCGTAGCAGTGAGAGCAGGGCGGCGGCACACCCACTGGCGCACACACGAGGAAAAGAGACACAGCAAAATAGAGATAGGGGGAGGGAGAGCGGCGCGTGGGAGCAAGGACGAAGAAACGCACACGCATAGTCCATCGTTTTCTTTGCCCCCTCCGCAACGATTTATACGTTTGTTTGCTTTGATTTTATTGTTACTCGGCCTCTGCCCGCCCCCTCGCACCTCCCCCTCCCCTCCACACAGACACACACACACAGAGAAAGAGAAGGAAAAAAAAAGAGACGCCCCGTCGCTCTCCCCCCCACCCCCCAGCGCAGCAGCCGCAACGTTGGGGACTCGGCCTCAGGGCTCGCGGAGGGACTCCCAAGCGCCGCCATCGTGGGCAACGGGGGGATCCGACGGGGCACGGCCCTCGTCGCAAAGCCAACCCGCGCTGCAGCGGAAGACGCGAAAATGGTGATTGAGTGAAGAGATGGTATGGATCGAATAGACCGACCCCAACCCACCGTGTGCGGGGTTTGCAAAAGAGTAGAACACGCGCCTCACCCTGCTGTGGACCAGCGCCATCGAACACATGACGCACGGCTCGTGACTAACAAACAAGTCAATGTTGTTCGCCAGGTAAGGCGCACCATCCTTCCCCAGTTGCCCTGCGAGCTGCGTGTGCGCCAACTTCTTTAGCACGCAAGTTACAGGGTGATCCAGAACAACACGGTCCCCTGAGCCCTCCCCAGCAGATGCATATCCAAAACAGGCTGCTGGGTTTGCTCGGTGCAGTAGACCTACCGCATCGCTCACAGCAAGCACGCACCAGTCCCGGGAAGTGTCAATCAACACCGCCGCTATTCCAAGCGTCTCCCCACTGCGTCCTCGCTTGGCAAGCGGCAGCACGCTCTCATTAAAGACGCGTCTTATCTTCCTCACTTCCTCAGGCGGCAGTGGAGACGCTGGGCGTGGCTTGGGAAGAGCAAAGGGCCACACTGTGCACCACTTCGTCCACTCCACAGGAGACGTACGCGGGGCCCTGTCTGGCACCCACACCGTGTCAATGATGAGGGGAGCCGCATTTCCGGACACCTCTTCAAATTCCTTTAGTAGATCTACATCAACCGCGCAGCCAACACCAAGCAGCAACTCCAGTGGAGCTTGAAGTGGCATCGTCACTGCACCGGCTCCCTCAGCCTCCTCAGCACGCCGCCTCGGGACATGCGCACTCGGGGTGGCAGGACTCTCAGTGGGAGGCGGCAACACCGCTGCAGTATGGGCCTTGCGAATACGCTTCAGATGGCGCGCGTTGGGCTGCAGCGGAAAGGAATTGTTGGCGATCCGCAGGAAAGCCCCGCTCCAACTGGGCTGCAGGATGCGGAGGACCACACCGGGCACAAGCCGCGGTGGCGCCTCTGGAACCACCACCTCCTCCATCCCTGCCGCGGCAAGCGAGCAACCACGTAAAAACGTCATGCGACGAAAGTAAAAAAAACAAACAAACAAACAAAAGGAACAGATAACGCAAAACAAGAATAGGACAGGCCGCACGCAGACCC